TACCACAGGACTCACATCCCTCTCTCACTTGCACGAAGCAGAGTCGATCCATATCCCACGCGTTGAAGCAGACCTTCACGCGCAGCTCTCCAATCGAATGATCCGCGAGATTCTCCTCTTGATACGCCAACCAGTCGACAAAGCTTTCTCCAGCACGCGACATCCGGTTCCATCGCCGGATGAAGGCACACCAGGAGCGACGAAGTCCCTCACGATCAGCGCCTTCGATGTATTTCTTCCGCGTCGCGCGGAAGCGACGAGAGTGGTTCTTCATAGTGTCGAGCGTACCCGGATTCTCCGCTCCTGACAAGTCGTACAGGTCCCAGAAACCAGAGCGTCGTCCATCACGCGCGACCGCGTGCTTCCGGCGCTGATCCTCGTGACTGTCGGCTCAGCCGGTGTCTCGGCTGTCTGGGTTACCGCCGCCGTTAGTGTGTCGATGTTTGCTGCTGTCACCAGCGTCGCGCTGGTGCTAACGCCCGTTGACTGCGTCGTGTTGTCCTTGGCCATCTTCGCTCCATTGGTTTTTCGAGTTTTCTTCAAATGTGCTCCGTGCGCTTACGTTGCGTAGCGCAACTTAGAGATGAGGGTGATGTAATGGGCCCAACTCCAATTACATAAGCAGGTAGATATTTCCTTAGTTATTACAGAAGTAGGTAAAGTGGCACACGGGTAGCGTGTGTCAAGGTGTCATCATCTGATTGGTTGATAGTGAGGAGCCAGACTCACTTATTGACCAATCAGGTATTGACATGTGTCTGAGTGGTTCACATGAGGCCAGGGGTAGCCGCCCTGGTCCTAAATAAATCAGAGTTGAATTTGACACAAACCTAAGACTTGGTTTTACTATTGCGAGCTTCCTCCATACTATAGTGTAAGCTAGTGACGGTATCTCTTACCCGTTACAGTAGAGGCGAATGTCGAGCATTGTCTGAACGCAGACATGAAGGCTTATGAGGTGAAGGTGAAGTGGCTCGGTCTGGAAACCATCGAGGACTCCTATAACCCCTGAAGATCATGAGCGAAAACGTGCCACAACGTCTGCTACTGTTCGCCAATGAAACTCGGGATGACACGTTTCTACACGCCGTGACGGGTGCTATCGATCGCAAGTCGCGCCATTTTTTAAAGCCTTTCTGGGCCTGAGTTTTGGACACTTCCTGTCAAAGGCGATTATTAGTTTGGGAAGGATTCATACCTGTGAATGGTATCATATCACTGCAACCTGTTGAAGGTGGTGCACTTGCTATGGCAAGACATGCAACGAGACAAATGCGACTAGGCAATTATCAAACGGCACTCAAGACGTGTTGACGGCGGTTGTAGAATGCTTGGGGGCAGAGTGATGGTTGCATGCAGAGCAACATCCTGTATCAGCTCCTCCAACCCGCAGCCAACACACTTGGAGTAAGCTCTCACATAGTATAGTGAAGCAGATCGCGAATAGCATCATGCTGTGAGTGACAACACCACTCAGCCACATCATAAAACGATACGTGCGGACATCCACTTGTACTTGGGTGCAACCGGAGCAGACTTCGAGGGCGGCCCTCCCTGGACTGCCAAGACGCTCGTAAGTTTGACTAGACAGCTCACCTTTGCTTTTGCAATCTGTTCAACAATACAAGTTGGTCTTCGCGGGAGATCCTTTGAGCACGTCACACGGGCTCACCATCATCTCGCTGGTCATCGATCCATCATACAAAACGAGCTCTTCTGCTTTAGGTTAATCAGTAGTCTAGCCATTCATTTGAGCCTTTTTTCGCCGCATTCGCTGCAACGCTGCTCAATTTTGTTCCAGTTTCTGCGTCAGTCCAGGATTGGCGTACGACTACTATACTTCGCCTCAGGGAGCTCAGGATAAAATTGACTAATACTAATATAATAGTCAATGCAATATTGCCATATGTTATAGGAACTCTATCTTGTGCGGTCGACAGAAAACAGTGGAGAAGCGCTGACAGAACGAACCTGACCTAGATGCCATCCAAGGCGCGTCAAGTGATCTTGGAGGTCGAGAATTAACTTTCAAATCGTAGTGAAACCCAAACCTTAGAAACCTTGGGTTCAGGACCAAACCAAAACGTTTTTTTTTTGCTGAGTCCAACCAGCTCCAAAATTTGTTTCTTAATCGACCACAAGTTTTTTAATCTACTGAGGTTCTTAAGTGAATGACTATCGTAATATACAGACGCTCGGCTTTGCGATGGTGTTCGTAACCCCATTTTGAAGTTAACGATCATTTCGTTTGGAATTGCTCACAAATTTGGCCAAGCTGAAACGAAGCTGAAGCGAACCAGGGTTTCCCCGATTTATTGCGAAGCTGTAGATCCTGTTCATTTTAGACCGTGCCGAAAGTCGGGAACATGTGTGAAGCGTCCAAGCATAGCCCCCTTCGCGACCTTTCAACGAAACCACTGCGCATCATTATTGGAAGCCGAGCTTCAAAATGAGCCTAATAACCCCCAGCTTTCCAAACTGGCCCTCTGGTCCTCGAGATTTTTCAAACGAAGACGAAAACCGTCGGATGAAAATACAGCTGCAATCGAGAACCTAGCATTCGGCGTCTCAAGCTTTCGTCTGAGAGATTATGTTATTCAAAATTCTTCCCAGTTATTTTATGTTTAATGGATATTAAGACTTCCGGTCGGCCAATAGCACTAGCACCGAGCTATTCCGTTTCAATCCTTAAAACTGGAGCAGGGGGAGACTTCTTTGGGAAATAGATCATTGCAGCTACGCAGCCTAGCTCCTAGAAAGACGATCGCCGCTTTAATCAAGTCACGACAGCTTTCAAATTTCAGGCTGCCCCAATCATGACCAGCTTTAAGACGAGAGCAACAATCTTACATGTTAGAATCAAACTTCGATAAGCACAACCTTTAGCGATACCAGGACTTTACAGTTTATAAACGTTAATAGAGAACCTGTCTCCATTCCAATGACGAAGCGTGTCGTCCGCTACTAGAAACGTATGGAAGCTCTCTGAATTTTAATCCAGAGTTTCTCCAGGGACGGTAATCGACCTAAAAAACTATTTACTTATTATGTGATTCATTAGTAAAAAAACTTCAGCCTGAAGAACACTGTTTCTTCGGTTTTCTACAATTTGGTAAACCTGCTATATCCTGTTTCATTTCTTATATCACAGAAAAACGTGGTGATATTATCTCTTTGAACAAATTCGTGCATACCCAGAGGTGAATGAATGCACCACTTCGTAAGAAAATAGATCGTTTGACCTTTTATAACCAATATCCGGTGGACATCACAAAAACACAGAAGAATGTTGCCTGTGGCGGTCACGGGTATAATCAAAACACATTCACCCAGTGAATGTTGCTTGAAGAAAACTGGGTGAAACAAATCTCTCCTTTTCAAATTAAGATAGCCATAGGGTGAATTTCAGTAAATCTCTCGCAGCGATTGGGACGACGGCAGATTCTTGCTACTGTTAAGCTCCAATCACAGTACTGTATAACATTTGTACAGCCGAACAATATATTCAAGCGGACACTCGCTAAGGTAATCATAATAACGCATTTCGCGAGAAAAACCTACAGGTGAGAGATTCGCAGAACTTTTTTTACTTATTTTCGAACGCACTCTGTTATCGATCTGTACCCACTCTCCCACATTTCACCTGAATCTTCAAGAACTATGCCACGAGGACGAAAGCGTGCTCCTGGGGGCGGTGGCCGACAAGCCAGCAGCTACCAGCGAGAAGTGGAAACGTACCTGAAGAGGCTTGAGGTGATTAGCTTTCATGACAACAACGGAATGCAGGCTACACTAGACAAGTTCTACCAACAGCTTACAACAAAAGCGTCAAAATAAACGAAAATGAATTTATGAATGGCTGAAAGACCGAGAGCGCATTGAGTCCGTGTGTTCGTCGTAAGTGAAAGCTGAACTAAAAGTAATCCGGAAAGTTGGCACTGCAATGACTATTTCTGAAGCGGGGGAAGAGGCTCTGAAAGAGTGGGTGCTCTCGTTGCGCGAAGAGGACGTCCCAGACTCACGATTGATGCTGCAGCTGAAGGCACAGGCCATAGCCGAAGATGAAGGTATAGTACCTGTTTTTTGCTGTTGTGGTAACTGGGTGTGGCAAACCGGTTTCTAAAGCGCCATGGGCGGCGAGTTTGCGCCAAGACGAGGCAGGGACAGAAGAAGCCGACGGACATGGAGGCAGACGCGAAATAATTTTGGAAGAATGTCGCCCAAGTAAAAGAGGAGCTTGGTGTCGATAAAGTTTACAACGCAGACCAGAGTGGAGAGTGCTTTGAGTATTTGCCGAAGCATTCTATCAATGAAAAGAGTGATAAGACGGTTTGGGTGCGATGTGGAGGCAAGGACAAAGAGCGCCATATCGGTATGTTTCTAGGTGACTCTTTGGGCAAGCAATATACGCCTTTCTTGGTATTAAAAGCTCAGCCATCGACCCAAGAATAAAAATTGTGTACAATCACATCGTTCAGATCGGGTTTAATACGAGATATCTGCCCTATCTCGTGAATTTGACGTGGAAATATCTGGTAACCAGAATGCTTGGTGAACTTCAGATTTATCAATTCGCTTTTTGGATTTTTATTTTGCTGATTGTACTGAAAATGAACCTGTTTTACTTTTGTGGGACAATTTCTCCGTCCATTGGACCGAGGTGGTAACGGAACATGCTGCCATGCTAAATGTCCATCTAATGCGAGTGCCCCTGGACTGACCTCCGTTTGCCAACCTGCAGAAGTGTCATGGTTCCGACCATTTAAGCAGCGACTTCGAAGTGAATGGGTGGTAGAATTGACGTTAACGGTGCACCACAACAAGGAAGATCCAACTCGTTCGAAACTCCTGGAACTCTCATTTATTGATTTTGCGTATAGAATTGATACAGTCAATTGACTTTGCAGCAGAATTATTGGGCGAACCAAATTCAGTCAGGTTTGATATTTGAGAACCGAAGATCTTATACACACAAGAATTACAGCCGGTAATTGTTTGGCTTAGTTGATCACACCAATGCCAAAGTTCTTGGTCGTCTTGACAAGCTTCTTCGCCGCCCGAGGACTGAATTTTGAGACCGCCGTGTTTCCTTTCATCTTCGACAGCGCTGTGGCCCCGCTGCGTGACTGGAGCGAGCCGCTCTTGTCCAACACATTAGGCAGACACGAGCGACCCAGGTAGTTGCTGCACTCGGTAGTTGCGGTGGCAGCGTAGATGGCTCCTTCAGGTGCCACCGTGTCCTGATAGTAGTTGCCTTCGGCAAGAACAAACCCGTTCTGACCCAGCTCAAACGAATGGCCGGAGTTGTCCGCCCAGTAATTGTTGGCGACGTGTACGATAGCGTTCGAATCGCTCGATCCGCCGACCTTAGGCGACCGACCGGACGTCGAGTGGACGTAGTTGTTGATCATACTGACCTTCGTGTCCTTGCCGTACAGCAGGAACGTCCAGTAGTGACGCCCGTCGCATGATGCAGAGTAATCCGTGCGACCGTCAAAGTCCGAGTTACTGATCGTCAGGGACGAAACGCCGGCGTTGTTGGCCACGATGAATTGGCGACCGATGCGCGAGATCTTGATGTGGTCGAGCCAGATCTTGCTCATCGACTTGCCGTTGACACCTTGCATGTAGATGGCATCGCCTCCCCACACGAGATGGCGGTTTAGCTCGGTGATGTGGACGTTCTGAATAATGATATTGTTGCCGTTGAGCCAGAGGCCTTTCGCCAAGATCACACCACTCGTACCGATGCCACGGAGGGTCTTGTTATCCGTGACGATGAGTCGGTTCTGCGAAGCCTTATCGTATGTGACCTTGACGCTCGTGCCGCCGGAACAGCCACCCGTCCCGGACATGCCGCCGCTCGATAGAATCACGTCTTGGCTCTTGTAGCCGTTGTTTTTCGCCATGCAGGCACGCGTGTAGTCCGGCCGGCAGCCGTTCGTGGTCGTGGTTCCCTCGGTGCCTCGGAAGTCAAATGTCTTGGACAGCACGATCACGCGGGGGACGGCGTCCTTCAAGTAGGCCGCGAGCTGGCTGTTCGTCTGGGGATAAACCGGGGTGGCGTTCCCCCCGCCTGTCGTTCCAGCAGCAAAACCGGTTGCCGATCCAACCGTGAAGGCGTCCACGGAGGCGACGGCAAAAGTTACCACTGCGATCAGAATGGACTGCAGAAACTTCATGCTTGTCGACTTGAGCAATAGTGTTTCACTTGTGCGAAGAAAATTGGAGAATTACCTGTAAAACGCGGTGTATCCTACGCTAACAACCCGTTCGAACAGCGCATTATATTTTAAAAAGTATTGTATAAATTATTATTTACTGGGTGTCGCGCTTCAACGTGGGTAATGAATCTGATCGCGTGTCTTCCACTGTTCTACCTCCCCGTTGTTACATGATCGCTGACTTCGCATGATGGGTTCGTTCAACAGCGCAAATGACCCGGCAATGCTACACCGAAATGACTTTAACCTGGTGGTCGTTGTCGACTCGTCGACAACCAGTGGGGACCACTGTGGTCGATCCCACCGACAGAAAATCCTTGTAACGTTGCTGACCTCGTCGACTCCACGTCGTGTCGAACACTTCAGCTTAAACCTTTTAACCCAGCTTACATATTTTCCACTGTACAGTGACTGTGTACATGCAGTAGGCGATAAAGGTCTTCTGGGCGCCAGACTGGCGGGAGCGGTGGGGGGAGCTGCAACGTGCACCGGCCCTGCTTTCCTGCGAGTCGGATTTCGGATGCAACCCCTTCCATCGCCTTCCCAACCGCGAGTAATTGTATTGAAGCAAGTTGCTGCATGCATACCCAGATGAACCCCATTCGATCGATAACGGATTCGGAATTCTTCCTAGGACATGCTCACCTGGTGCTCAGAGATCTAGCGGGTTTTTGACTTCGAGGGTGCCGTGACTTGGCGGTGAAAATGAGATTGGAAGCTGGCACATGCTTGTGTATTGTGTACACTGCTGTGCCTGCGTGCACAGCAATGTAGAATACCCTGTCAGTACACACAATGCATCCTACAGGAAGTTTCAAGAGCCATGCGCTAGGACCTGCGACTAGAGGACCCCAAGTTGGGATTATCCTACTGATTATACATAACGAGCTCAGAAGCTGAATCATCGACTACATGTTACATGCTTACATGTCATGTACTGTACTCCTATTTACACGTTGAGGTGCAGTTACATGTATCAGTACGTGCGAAAAAAATAACACTTAGAAACAGTCTTTAAGAACCGAGGAAACGATGCTGGAAGTCTTAAATCTTCTCACCTAAGTTTGCTTCGAGCTGGACCTTAACTCCACGGGTTCATTTTTTTACTTAAAAGTAGTCGTTCCAGGGTGCAAAATAGAGGTGTTTGGCCACTTTTTTCTCATTAGGCTTTGTATCTTGTTTCTTGACGCTATTATTGTACTGTAAAACGTTTAATCGGTGCTTAAATTAATAATCACCCTACTACTACATGTATTAGGTCGATTTTTTTTATGATAAGGAGTTACAGTATCATCCGGAATAGGTTTTACGTTGCATTTTTTAAGGAACTGGTTAGCGGCACCGAGTAAAATAGTACTTACACGAAACATTACAGTAGTACCTTCGTAATTTTGACGATAAAATACTGTCCGAGGTAAATTTCAACTCAGTTCTGAAAAACAAGATTTCTGAAAAAGACACCCCCTCTCCCCCCTTTCTCCCATCCCCAAAATCTATGAGCCTTTCATTCCAAAAATTTCCCGCGCACTACATCAGCCACGCGCCCCTCCTAAACTCTAATACGAGACGAAGACACACGACAGCTCTGAAGGTGAGCATGCATGTTCATGTAGATTAGAGGGGGGGGAGGTAAGCTAAGAGCGTATTCTGTGGTTCTCATGTGTGCAATCAGAATGAGCGACAGTGAACCCGAGCGGCAAGTCCCTCCTGGGGTCTCGTGGCTCTGTCCCCCAGTTGATGTCGAGTGGCATGAGAGCTGGGATACCTTCCGCAAATACATGGAGCGCTACCAAGAGGAGACACACCAGATCTTTCCACAGCGCACGTCCACGTCGGTTCAAAAGAGAAATCGAGAAATTAAGGCGCGAGCAAACCTGAGTGTTAATGCGAAGGACCCAGATGATTCCGGCACGACTAACACAGTTACTGATGAGACGTCGGATCGATTGATCCCTGAGGAGTTCGGAAATTTCTGGATTAAGTTGGTCTGCAGTCACGGGTGGAAGCGCAAGAGCCGTGGAAAGGGGATACGAAGGTCGTTTTTTGAGAAGACTACAGGCTGTAAGGCAAACATTAAGGCTGCTGTCGTGTGGAACGATGAACACGACACGTTCATGGTACGCGTCACTGACTTTGACGTCAGACACAACCACAATGTGTCTCGCGCTACATTTGAGAACCATGTGTCGAACCGTCGCGTGGAGGATCCGGACATACTGGCATTCGTGGATGAACTTCAAGCTGCTGGTTCTAAGCCGAAGCTAATTATGCAGTTCCTGCGAAAGAAGACAGGTGGGTGCGCTTAACTCAACCCAGAATTATATATAGTGACTGATAGCTTTCTTGTTTTGGACTCCATGTAGGAAAAAATGTGGTGCTTCGAGATGTACACAACATGGTGGCGAGGATGAAGGAGAGACGAAGGGGAGGTGCGACTACTGAAGAACGGCTGGAGACTGTCTTGCGAGGGATTTGCGAATGTCGTGGAAACCGAGCAACCGTTTACGTCGACGAATCCAAAACTGCACAGACCATCGCGTTGCAGACGAGACAAATGCGACGCTGGTTCAAGGCTTTTCCTGAAGTGATGCTCATTGACGCGACGCATAACACCAACGAATCGCGCTACAAGCTCTTCTCGTTCATGGTTAACGATGTGTACGGACATGTAAGTAAATGTACCTGACGTGACATCCTATGTGCCTCTAGTTACACTTTTACTGTTTGCGTAGCTTCAGCTACAACATGTACTTGATATGTACAAATTCTTACTTATGAGTTGTTAACGTAATGCTAGGGTCAATACGTACACCACAGTCTCATGGAGAACGAAAGTGCAGAGTGTCTTTCAGATGCTATCGGGTCGTTCAAGTCTAACAACTCTTCGTGGGAGCAAGTCAGGGTAATTGTGATCGACAAGGACATGGGCGAATTGGGATTACTAGAAATGGAGTTCCCTGGCGTGAAAGTGATTCTGTGTCACTTCCATTTGAAGAAGTATATTCGGACCGAGCTGGCAAAGAGCGAGTATGGAGGCCCGTCCAGCTTCGACAAAGACCAAGTTGAAGATGCTATCGATATGATGCGGCTGGCGGTTTCTACGGATGATTACGTTAAGTATCTGAAGTATCTATACTTCTTGCTGGAAGGTGTTCGTCTTAAACGTGAAGACCCTGTACCTGTGCCTACGCATCCATTTTTGAAGTACTTCATGAAGAACTGGGATTCGATGAAAGAACGATGGGCGCTGTACGCACGTTTGGATGTTCCACATCTAGGCAACCACACCAATAATAGGTACAATTTCTTGCGCTATAGGTTCTAGACTCACCTTTAACTGTGTTTTTGCCTGGTGGTTTGGTGGTCTGTAGGCTTGAAACATCATGGGGTCATATCAAAGAGGTTCTGAAGCCGGAGATGGCGCTGGATGAGTGCGTAGATACGCTGATGTTCTTGCAAGCAGTAGCAGAGATGGAGTACGGAAAGAAAATTACAGACGTGGGCCAGATGCGTTATGATGGTGCAGATCACGAGCTTGAACAGCTAGCGCGCGAAGTCAGCCCGTATGCGTACCGGCTTGTTGAAGAGCAGTATTGGGCGTCTAAGGATCGCAAGACAAGTTACGGCGTGGAGGAAATACATTCCAGCCTGTTTGTCCTGACCGGAGGTGGCGACACCAGTACATGCTATCATGTCGACACTACGGTAAGTTTGTCACCCGTTCTGGCCCGTGTAAACCCTAACGTACGTCGCTGTTATTGCGTGCCTTTAGAGATATCACTGCTCATGTGTATTCATGAAGACGATGTTGCTTCCATGCCGGCACGTCATGTATTGGCGTCTTTTACGTGGAAAACAGGCAATTCCTTTTCGGTACATTGCACCCCGTTGGAGGTTGTCGTGCAAGCTGAATCAACCTGCGCCAGAAGAAGACGTACCAGACAAAACAGTTGCGTGCACAACCTTCCAAGTCCGTGACTCTGCTATGACAGCAAGGCGCCATCACGTTTTAAATGGGACGACGAAGTACAAGCACGCTCTCGAGTGTGGAAAGAGTATTGCAGACATTATGAGCAGGAACGGAACGTTTGTATTTGGAGAAATGATGAGCGCCTTGGAGAAATTTGAAGACATTATCAAGGACGGTGTTGCACCATTTGTTGGTCGAGAAGGTGAATGGGTAGACCCGCTTTCACAGCTATCGTCGTAGACATTTTTGCCTACGTTAAATACCAATGCTGTTGAACCAAAGGATGCTGTGATGAAAAGCGATACGGAAGATGAAGAAAAAATCAAGAACACTTCCACAGCGAACTCGGACGATGACGAACCTCCGACTTAACAGAGCGCACCTCTAGCTACAATGCAATGTGCTACAGCTACAATGCAAGAGCCTACAGTTACACCGTGTGTGACTAGAGGTACTTCCCACGTGACTTTGACCCCTCCTGCTACACAAGAACCACTGTGTGTAACTAGAGGCAATTCCTGTGTGACTTTAACCACCCCAGAGGTGGATGCAGCAAGTATGTCTGATTTCAAACAAAATCCAAGCCAGTCCAAGCGCCAGCACATTAGCAGCAGTTCGTCAGAATCCTCGCAGTCTGGGTCATTTGTGATAACAAAGAGCGCAAAAAGTCGGGGACGTCCCCAAGTCAGAAAGAAGCAAGGAAAAGCAGAAAAGAAGCAGAGGATCGAGAATAGCAAGAAGAAGGCTTCCAAGTTGGTACAAGGGACGCTGGCACCAGTTCCAAGCGTACGGAACATTGCTAAACTGTTGGACAACAACTACACCTATGAAGACGCCAAGAAGGTGCTACCCAATCTCACTATTCGAGCTGTTCCAAAGACCAAGAAGGCGAATGCTGGTATTTATCTTGAGGATGAGTGCATCTGTGACGTCAGATTTGTGTTTCCAAAACAATTTGTGGAAAAATGCCTGGCTGCGGTCGCAGCGTTTCGAAAAGGCTTGATTGAAACTGTCGATGACGACACTATTGGTGTAAGAGTTCCTCGCTGTGGGATATTCCGATACCAGGACATTGTCGCGATGGACCGATGGCACGCCTCCATGCAGTATTTATCTGCCACTGAAGATGCGACTACTTGGGCTGTCAACACTAGCGTCAAGCGCTTGTCTCTACCGGTACAGATTGATGACGGAGTCAGCAGCGATCCGACAGAACGGGAAGTTACTATCAGGCGGATTCTTCTGAAGGGTGGCCGCGAGACTTCGTTCGGTAGTGTGATCTATAACGGACTACTAACGCTTCGAGAAAATATGTGGATGGATGATTCATGCATTAGGCATGGGATTGCTCTACTCCAACGAGAGCACCCGGATGTTGGCATCGTTAACCCGATCTTCAATCGTTTCCACGATAAGGACGCCCGGCTCAGGGCTATTAATGCAGGCAAGCCTTTCAAGAAAACGAACCAGATCATTCTGTTGCCGCTACACATAGACAACAACCACTGGTGTGGAGCAATTTTCGATTATCGCAGCGAACGTCGAGGAGTCCTGGTGTTCGACCCCTTGCAAGACCCCAAGTCAAAATATTACGCCAAATGCGAAGAACTACTGAAAGACGTGTTTTTAGAAGGTGAAGACAGCTCCATACCCTTGCCGATTCAGAGAGTCACGAATGTACGCCAGCCGGACTTCTCAAGCTGTGGAGCAGCTATTTTACTATTCTTTGAGTGCTACCTCACCGGCATCGATATGCCGGAAAAGCTCAGCCATGCCTCAATGCGTTTTTTCAGGCTTCGGTACATGTTAAAGTGCCTGCAGTAGGCGAGTTAGGAAGTCGATAACATGAAGATAATGTACTCCTGTAGTTCGCATTGTGATGCCTCTGTCTGTTGATTCCAATGTGTGCGTGCTGCGGTGATACTGTTGAGCTGCGTAAAGTGAAAGATACTGGTCATGGTCTGCTCTACTCTAGCAGTACTCGTCAGGCAAATTCTCACTAAGTGCTTCGTACCTTCGGGTGACATTCATGCATTCCAGTTACATTACAGCAACACTTCATGCTACCAGTCGCGTGACTGGCTGTCGTCGCAAGCACCGATATCTCTAAAAATGAGGAATTTTTTAATCTGTTAAAATTAAATTACCGTAATATATTTTCGCGTAGTACCTTTAGTACGTATCTCGGGACCAATTAACACGAAGTGGCTCGAGTCACTCACACAGTGTAATCCTAACATTCGCTTAAGTACGAGCTACTCGGTACCTCTAACATTGATCTTTTTTTAATCCTTCCGGTGGAAACATGTCGGTATTAATACTACTGTACTACATGTACAGTATACAGATATATGTATAATACTTGATGTATAAACGCACGACGCCGATCAGTTCAACGATTCAGACCTCTTTCTCCATTTCATGGCGAAATTGACACTGGCAACATATTGCTAGTCGCGGTCCGTTTACACCATATGGGTCGGCAGAGCTCAATAGATGCACCAGGGGCGTTTGCAACTAAAGTCAAGCAAGTTTTTCCGTGCTGGGACGATCACTTCGAGCGCACTTTCTTAAGATGCTCTATCTAACAGCGGGACATGGAGGAGACCCCCCTCGTGCAGTCTGCCATCGACCTCTAAGCTAGACACCATTCCACAATCTGCTTCACCCGGTGCAAGACCCACTTCTCATCGACAAAACCAAATGAGGTTCTTCCGTCCGGTTCTTATCGCGGTGTTGGCTCTCTTCGTGCAGAACACTGAGGCCTTTACGGTCAAATCGGCTCCCGGCCTTGCTGCCGGCACGACAGGCGGCGGTAGTGCCACCCCGGTGTACCCGACAACGACTGCACAGCTCGTTGCGTATCTGAAGGACGCAGTCCCCCGCGTTATCGTGCTGAACAAGACGTTCGACTTCCGTGGTACGGAAGGCACCACGACCGAGGCTGGATGCCGTCCGAACTACACCCGCCAGTGTATCGCTAAGAACAACGGCTACAAGAGCCAGGATGTCATTCTGCAGGGCGGCGGCATGGCTAACACCGGCGGTTGGTAGAGACGGCACGAAAGTGACGATCACGTACGACAACGCCGGCCTCACCGCCATGACTGTAGGCAGCAATAAGACTCTGCGCGGTATCGGCACGGCAGGTGTGATCATCGGCAAGGGTCTGTGGCTAAACGAAGACAACATTATCATCCAGAATGTCCACATCACGGAGCTCAACCGCCACCTGGTTTGGGGTGGCGACGCCATCTACCTCCAGGGCACCAACGGCGGCTCACAAGCCATGAACAAGATCTGGCTGGACCACGTCAAGGTGTCCCGTGTGGGCCGTCAGTTCCTCACGACGAACGCCGCCAGTGTGTCTACGATGACCATCAGCAACTCGGACTTTGACGGCCGAACAGACTACTCGGCGTCCTGCGACGGTCGCCACTACTGGTCGTTTATCTTCTACGGCAAGAACACGCGCTTCAGTATGGTCAACAACTACATCCACTCGACGTCGGGCCGCTCGCCCAAGCTCGGCGGCGACAGTAGCGCCAACGTCGTCGCTCACATCGCCAGCAACTACTGGGCAGCCACTCGTTTGTTTTCTCTACACAGTGTTGGCTTTTAATAAGCTCCTTTTATAGTCGCTAAGGATGTTTCTTAACTAAAATCTATCCTTAACCCCTCTGTTACCAACTACGTAAGTTACGACTTTGAGTAGGGCGAAAGTCGTAACTTACGACGTAATTCGAGCCTTCAAACAGAAAATGGCTCGAAAAAAGAGGACACGATACTTTAACCAAGTCAAAGTTTGGAGGCAAATTATATAAGCTGAAAGAGGTCGATTCGGCAAATGTAAAAGAAAGGGTGGAGGAAGGGTAGATGTGCTGCACCGAACAGAATGATGAGTGGCCGAGAGCGCCGACTCGAGCCACTGGTGTCTCATTCAAGAACTTGCCACCATGGCGAGAGTTCGATCAAGTATGCGGACGAACCAATCAGCAGTTGCCAGCACGATGGACGTGCGTGCCATCGACTTCAAGCATCTCTGGCGGCAGCTACGTGCAGTGGGATGGACGTCGAAGAGACCTTCCGGTGGACTTGCGAAGGAGTGGACGTACACGTCGCCGGACGGGAAGTCGCTCACTGGTGCGAAGCTCGTATATGGTTATGTGCTTTATTTGTCTAATTTATATCACTTGTCTAGGGGAGGATGCTGTGGTGGCTTATGCAATCGAGACTGGGCTTATTGCTGAAGAGAGTGGCGACAGTGAGAGGGAGGTGGACAGTGATGAGGTCGTGCCGGTGGACGTTACAGTGACGGCGTCACAGATAGACACATCCATCGCGCTGTCGGCCAACACCTTATCGGCGATGTTTGGCACGGACAGTGACCCCCAGTCGGAAGCGGAGGATCAGTTGGAGCAGTCGGATCGAGAGATGGTCGTTGGGGCGTTTCCAGCGGCTCCCTGTCAAGGCGCCGAGTCGAGCAATTCGGACGACAACGATGATGGTTGCGCCAGTGTGGAGGAGGAAGGCGCAAGTGTGTGTGGAGGTGAGACTGTGGAGGATGACTGCCGTGTGGCACTGCCGGTAACCGACGTGAATGTTATGGGCGATGGAGATCTTTCGGATGAATACGAGGCCGTCGATTCTAGTGGCAGCGACAGCAGCGACAATAGTGGCGACAATATCATCGTGAGGCGTGAGTACCCCGACGACACACTTGAGGACGATGAAGACGTTGCTCTGATGGACGACGCATTTGTCGAGGCGTTAGGTGGCAAATTAACACTGGAGTCGATCGACAAGGCCGCACTCCGGAGCTTTGAGTGGAGTCCTCCTTCGTCCATCTTCGAAGCTGACAGTGGAGGGTATTCTCGCCTGTCTACGGACGTCGCCGTACCGATCAGGGAGCTACAGGACATTGCGGATTCTCCCTTGCTGCTTCTATTTTACTTCCTACCAAAATCACTGTGGGTTACCATCACCAAGGAGACAAATCGCTACAAGAAGCAGACAGTACACGCCAGAGCTAAGCGAATCCGACAGAAGCAAAGGAAACGCACTGTACCAGCCCCCGAGACTGTTAAGTAGATTGAAAGGCGATTGCGCGTCGAGGCTGCGTACGAAACTCATGAGATACTCAACGTCATTGGGCTCTTAGTGGCAAGAATGCTGAACCCAATGACGCGTCGCTTTTCTCGGCATTGGTCAATGACCGAAGACGGTGCAATACCTGCCGGAAACGTTGGCAAGTTCATGGCTCGAAACTCATGAGATACTCCACGTCATTGGGCTCTTAGTGGCAAGAATGCTGAACCCAATGACGCGTCGCTTTTCTCGGCATTGGTCAATGACCGAAGACGGTGCAATACCTGCCGGAAACTTTGGCAAGTTCATGGCTCGAAACCGCTGCACGTCAATTCTTCGAGACTTCCATGTCGTGAACAACGAAGCCCCACGGATTCGAGACAAATTGTGGAAGTTACGGCCTGTTGTCGACACGTTGCAAACTCGGTTTCGATCTGGCTGGTCACTCGGCAGTAAGTTCTCGTTTGACGAAGGCGTACTACCAGCCACGTCCAAGAGCAACACCACGCGGATGTTTATGCCCGACAAGCCCCATCGATACAGAACCAAGTTGTTTATGGCTTGCGATTCTGTGAGTGCATACTGCCACCGGTAAGTTTGTTTCGTTTAAAAATTATGTCGTAACTTACGGCTTGAATTGTAATACGATATTTTATTACGTCGTAACTTACTACTATAGATTCGAGGTGTAAGTCGGAAAGCGTGAGACCGAGGATGGTGATCAGCAAGCAGTCGACGACAAGACGGGGGCTGCTGCAGTTATTCGAAACATGAAAGCCGTTCTGGGAGATCGATCACAAGGGTTTCGATTGGTAGTGATCGATCGATTTTACTCGTCTATCCCACTGGCTATTCAGCTTCTATCGATGGGTATCTACGTGGTGGGAACGATCATGGTCAACAGACTGGGGTTAGACAAGCAAGTTATTGAGAAGCGTAAAACACGTCTTCGAGCGATTGAGCGTGGTACTTTTGCGTTCTCTCGCTCCACTGCTATACCGACCATGATAGCTTGCCACTGGTGGGACCGAAAGCCGGTCCACTACCTGGCCACGGGTCCGGTCATGGCAGAGGACTCTATTCGTCGTGACGTCAAGATGGTCGGGCCGTCTTGCGTCAAATGCCCAAAGTTAGTTACTGATTACCAACGCTGGATGGGCGGAGTTGATGTACATGATCAACTTCGCCTGCAGTTCTATTCAATCCAAACGGCTTTCCGTTTCAGGAAGTATTACAAGTCACTGTTCATGGGTTTCATGGACATGGCACTCGTCAATGCGTATCTCACACACAAGGAAACATGCCGGATCAAGAGGCTGGTACCAAAAGATCCTGGAGAATGGTATCTTCTACCTCATAAGCAATTGATGCAACTCAAAGCCGACGACTTCATTGAAGCTACTGCTCCTACACCTTCTCCTACGGCTCGCTCTCGCAAGCGCCGCCGACTAGACGGTCACAAACACATCCAGTTCGACGACTGGGTCACCGTTTCAGGCACCCAAAAGCGCCGGCAACGCTCTTGCAAAGTATGCGCTCTTCTACGAGGCGATCGAAAAAAATCCTTTCAAACGACCTATTATTGTGAGGATTGCTCACACGCAGACGCAAAGTGCTTCCTCTGCCCCAAGTCGCGCCATAGCTACGGAGGCGTGCGCAAAACATGCTATCAGATTTGGCACGAAGACTTTGACAGTGGGGCTTCCATCCCAGCATCGCTCGGCAAGCGAGTCGTCTTGCGACGATCAGCCAAGGCTGGTACTCGAAAACCAACTCGGCGTGAGCTGCTCTGTCAACAAGACGGCGAGGCCGACAATGAAGAGGATCAGCCAGCTCAGCAATCGGCAATCGTTTGAATGCGTTTGGACAGCACTTAGTTTATGTAAATGTAGCTCTTTCTCTGTTGTACGAGGATCTCTACGGATGTGTAAATAGGCATCTGCTTCGACAAAAACAATACTTGAACGTCGTAAGTTATTGCTTTTCGTGATACGACGTGCTCATAATGTCGTAACTCATACGACGTAGCTCAGAATATCCTCTGACAGTTTATAGCGGGAATCCAGTGTTGAAAAGACACATCCATACAAATAAATATACTAAAATAAAGTCGTAACTTACGACGTAAAATAGGCGGTTCCAACACGGATCTTCTGGTAACTGAGGGGTTAAAACAATGTGTAACTTTATGTCATTTCAACAGTTTAGTTTTACTTGTACAGTACATGTACAGTAAAATTAAAGCTTCTGGCCATATTGACAGAATGCGGGCGTTCCTTGCATCGAACCTCGTGGTCCTTGCATCGAACCTCACCTCTACAATCTCGTCTTCCACAATGCCAGAAAAAGGCCTTACTAAAATTCTCGTCCTACGGTTTTGTATTACATCATGTAATTTACATGTAGCACTCGATCCCGAGCACACGCCAACGAAGCATGATCACCAGCAGAGCAATGACAGCCCTGTATTAATATATACATATAGTTTATATTGCTCAACTACAATACTACGATTGTACTGTGATTGTACTGTAGTGGACTTAGCACGCGTTAACCCCAGTGCAATTTATCCTAAGAGAAAGGATCAAACATTTCCGAGCCTGCTTCATTTTATCCTATGGCTCCTTTTGCGATAGGATAAAATTGTCTACATTCACTCTTCATCGCCCCCTTCAACTCAAGCGATTCCGCGCGGATTGCTTCAACTAGCATGGCCGACTCCGATGCTGAAGAATTGCTATCAGAGCGTGAAGATGACGGCGAGCTTGATAGTTCGACCATCTCGATGTGGAAATGCGTCGAAGAGACATCATTAGAGCTCGGGATTGATGATGTGGAGCAATACCTTCTCGCGAAGGCAAGACTAGAGGTCCCCCGGGTGGCTGAGCGTCTGATGGCGCGTATGTACGGCAAACGTTCACGTTCTCTCCAGCCTGAACTTCCTGTTGAGGACATCGTACAATTGTGGCTAGATCCGACCGTGCTGATGCTGACAATGCAGCATATCAATGCAAATCTGGATACCAGCGAGTTTGCAACGGTGAATGAAATAAAAAAAATGCTTGAAGTGGAGCTGTGGTTGTGCTTCTACAGTTTTTCGCCGACAAAGTTCTATGCTGAAAAAAAGAAGAGGTACTATCCTTTTGCAAACAAAGCAATGAATCGTAGGCGATATTACACGTTGTTGAATGCACTTGGGACCCCAAGTGCGGCTATTTCTACTTCTTCAGACTTTTGGAATGCCCCATTTTCACCGGACCGCCACTTATCTCAAGCAATGGATGCAATGCGTCGAGTGTGCTCCGAATTGGATTTGTAAACGAAGTTTCGATTGCCAGTCTGGATGATGATTTGCTGAGACTTCGCTCGAAATCGGTTGATGACCTCGGGCTGACGAGAACTCGAAATCCAGCAAAAGGGTAAGCATGTAGCGCACATGTTGCTATATATGCTGATAGTACGCACTAACACGATCATGTGCCTAGATTCGGTCCTGTACAACACGGCATCGTGTCGCTGGTCACCGGATTGTTCTTGTGTAGTCATGTGGCGTCCAGAGGTGAGACCGTGGCTGACGTGCTGCGAATTCTGATGCGATCGCTCTGTGGTGTATCCACGGATAGCCATATTAAACTTCCAGGGGTTGTCTTTGCTTTGGATCGTGGATATCAGTCCAAGGAAGTAAATCGCCAAATTATGGAGTGTGGCGGCATAGTTATCGGGACTCATAAACGTGATCGCAGCTTTCCGTTCACATACGGAAAACTTGGTACTCAGAGGCAGACAGTGATGACGGAGAAAGGTGTCAAAACTACAAAATGGGCTACCATGAAGCACTCTGTCAGATCTACAGAGAACACTTCTACGATGTGCGCTTTGGCTTATCGTTCTGGGCTTGGTAGTGTTGTACTATGCAACACTTCACTTATATCGGCTGGTCCTGGAAAATGGTCGTATATTCCATTGCCTAGACCACAGCAAGCTCATTGTGACATCCAAGGAAACGAATTTGCGAGTTTTGAAAGACGTGTACTTATTCTGACGGAATGTCAGAGAACTCCCGACTGGTTTCTCATGCGCCAATTTCGCATTACTGGACTTGTTGCAGTTCAGATTCTCCGCGCAATTGCTAAGGCTTCTGAGAGTCCTGACGAGCTAGAACAAGCCTCCGAGAATCGGTGCAGTGTTTATCACAACTTGGCGCAGCAGACTTCCGTTCAACTGGTGCAGAAAATATTAGGTATTATGACCGATTCAATCTCTGGTGTATCCCGATCTTCAACTGGTAGTGAGATTTCATCAGAGTCGGCTCTCAGCACAATGAAAACCAAAAGTTGCAACAACTGTGTCGTGATCAAGGACTCACAGCGTCAGGAAACAAACGTGAGCTTATCTGCCGTCTTTTGAACGAAGAAAGTGACACAAATTCGAAAAAGAACACAATTAAATCTCCCGCTGTAGCGCTACTTAGCGCTTGGTTCTTAGCTCCAATATCGTCTACGGACATGAAAGTGGGATCTAAGAACGAGGAAAACATTTGCTCACGTGTACCAAGGTTTCTTGAAGCACACTCAAACTTTCGCATTCTTCACACGAAGTCTTATGGTCTGCTTTGTTGGTACGTTGAACGACTGCCACCGCTACGTACCATTATTGATTTGTGAGAATGATGCATGATACAGCCCTGACGAGCGCTATTTGGCATTTTCTCCGGATGATATCGCATTGGTAACTCGGCCTTCTAGTAATGATTCGTTTTTTGCTGTACTGGAGTATAAAACGAAGACTAGAGGCAATACTGTCGACACAGAGCGAAATATTGCAGTGCGATGCGGTAAATTCGAAACTGTAGAGCTGAATTCCCATTCTGATAGTCGGTACTTGAAGACGTTGATTCCCGACCAAGGGCATCGATCTCAGCTGCTACACAACATCATTTCTGGGTCTCTAAGAGATGGATTCATTGTGTATGCGTCGTCAACAGCAATACTTCGTGTCGTTCACGTTGTAATTGGTGACGATATTGTGGATGCTTATCGACTTGCTCTCCGGAATATCAAAGAAGCATGCATGGACTGGATCTACACACCCGACACTCCCGTACCACCGTTTACAGTTGACGAATTAGAACATTGTGGAGACGTATCAACGCTGAAGCAGCATCTCACGTTATGGCGAATAGTTGTGGCTAAAACTGAAGAACGTGGAGGCCCACTACCTGCAGCAAAACACATAATCCCCAGCGTGATAGCGATCTGGAATCGAGTCAAAGGAGGAATCGACGTATATTCCCGGTACCTGAAGAATATAAAGCCATCGCACGAGCATTTACCACCCCTCGCTGCTATTTGGCTGCGGTTTTTGATGACTTTAGTTTACAACGCGTTCCAGTCTGCCCAGTTACTCAGCGTACGTTGTACATGTGATCAATACACTGTACATGTACTCAGTTCTGCGTATGCTTTGCTTAATTCAGGGAACCGCGTTCTTAATGGACGAAGATAGGTGCAAGTCCTACAGCAACTACCAACAACACAAAAGAGAAAATGCATCATTTCGAGATTTTTGCCGAGATGCCGCAAGCTGTTTGGGAGGACCCGCTTATGACGACGACAGTATCGATGCACCAAGACTGCCGCTTTCTGAGGTTAATACAAATGTCTTGAGCGCGAATGAGCTGGGAAGCATTCTTTTGAAGCCGAATTCGTTTGCGTACCGGGTACGTGATCATTTTGACGATGACCCCGAATGGCGGAAGCTTCGAAAGTCCAGTCGAGAGCTTCACAACGAGGTATGATCAGCTCATTCATTATGTGATTGTGAAGCTAGAAAATTGACACTAACTACGTTTCTTCAGAGGTTGCTGCTTTCCGGAAAACAACTTCGATGTGTGCTGTGCTGTGAGCGAGATCATGGGGAAGAGAACACTACCCACCATCGACTAGGATACAAGACTAGATACGAATGCTCCTTATGCAAGGTTGCTCTTTGCCACACGTCACGCTGGGAGAACGATGAATCTTGCTTTGACAAATTTCATTCATCAGCCAAGCTGCCCGATGCATGTCAGCAAGCAGCAACAAAGTCCAGGCAAATTCGTGCTCCACCCCCATTGCGTAAAAGATCACAAGCATCGGTTGAACTGTTTGAGCGACGAGTCACCCGACACAAATCAAAGCCACTGCGGCGATCGGTAAGATTGTCTACTGAGTCCGCCGCATAATAGTTTATCCTAGGAACTAGGATAAAACTCCATCTTTAGCGAAGATTAAGCGTCACACTTAAGCTTGTCTTTACAACATCAATGCGCATGCGTTTGGGCTGAGGTCCTCGAACCTTGCTAAACGAAGTCTTGACGTCATGATGAGCATTAAGTTTTTTCAATTGTGCTCTGGTTGCTCATCAAAAATTGATCCTTCCATTTATCCTACCAAAATAGCTCACTGGGGTTAAGTAAATGTACCAGACATGAAACATCTTGGAGTAACCAGGATACGAAAATGTACCTGGAATTACGTGCTCTTGCATGGATGTGGTGGAGAACGCTAACATGCGTTGAATGGCTAGTTGTGACTAAACTGCCAGAACCACAAGGTACAGTAGCCGGTGCCGTGTTAAATTACTAATTAGATTAGCGATGGTGTATTTCGATCAATAATAATGCACCCCATAAACCTTCACCAGCATTGCTACGTCGACATCCCCCCTCACGGTCTTAATGCTTGCCAGCTTGGCCTATTTTAATGCGACAAAACGTTTCCATTCCTTAGGGATCATGGCAAGCCCTTTGTATGCAGAGCAGGAACTGCATAAAAACAATTGTGCTCCTATTTATATTGAAGCTCTATAAAGATTTAACCACTTTACGCCAGTCAAGCTTGCCATGTGAGCTTTGCGAACATGTTGTCACCGGAGCACACACACATGCGTGGTCACATTGGCCGAGCGTCAGATACAGAGGGGATTCGCGAACAGGTCGACTTCTTGGTCTGCTGGTGTCTCTTGATGGAATACGAATACGTACAGTACATGAAGTGCTCTCTGTACCTCATTAAAATAACGGCGATTCGAGAATCCACATGTGAGCTTTAATTATACAAGCACCAATACATGTAGTACAGTCAGGGGTGGGAAAAAATAATATCAATCCCGTAATTACTGTATTATCCGGCTACAATTATTATTATTGGATCTGTCCAAAGTCAATATAATATGATATTGATCCAATAATATCAGTACAATACCGGTTTATACCAATATGTTAGAGGCAACTAGCTCTTCGCGCCAATCGTTCAAGTGGTTGGCTGGCAGGCACAGACACGAGCACGAGCCGAAGCCTCACAGCACTCCCTCACTTTTCATTTGACCACGATGGCTCCGAACCGTGATATCTGCGCATTTTTCTACGAAGACAAGGGCCAAGGCGACTTCCGCTGTCAGCTTTGCGGTTCTTACCGCAAGCAGCAAACCGGTACCGGGTACTCGAACCTGATGTCCCACCTCAACCTGACGCACCCCGACTTCAACGAGACCTACAGCGCATCTGCGGCTACGGACGCCCCTCTGTCCAACTTTGGGTTCGTGTCCGAGGCGACTCAGCATCGCTATCAGTGGCTTCAGTGGGTCGTAGAGAGGCACATGCCCGTCTCCGAGGTCGACAACCACCTCACAAGGTCCATGTCGTCCTGGAAGCCCGTTTCGTCCAAGACGTTGAAAGAAGACATGAAGAAGTGCTCCGTGAGCGTTGGTGTGCTGATCGAAAGCGAGTTGGGCAAGCTGTTTGGTGTCATGTGAGATGGATGGACGCACGGTACCACGCACTACGTCGGTATCTACGGTGTTTGCTACGCAGACGGCAAGCGCCGTGAGCGACTGCTGTCGCTGTCACCGCTGGAGGACGGCAGCCAAGATGCTGAAGTGCACATCGAGATGTTCAAGCGCGTGCTGGCGCTGTATAACAAGGACATCTCTATGGTGGCTTTTCTGGTAGCCGACAATGCGCGACCAATCAGCGGATCGCTACGTTGTTGGAGTTGCCACTGGTTGGCTGTGCAAGTCACCGGTAAAACCTTGCGGTGAATCGCTACTTAGCTGCTTATGAGCCGGAGCTCGCTGCAGTTAACAGTCTGATGGTGCAGCTACGACACGTGAACAATGCTGCGGAACTATCAAAATTCACGGACCTGAAACCTGTCAAACGGAATGTTACCCGTTGGTCTTCGACATTCGCAATGGTGGACCGCTATAAGAAAATTCGAGATTCTATTCGGCAGGTTGATGCTGTTGACGAGTTCATCCCAAAAGGTGCGGCCCACAAGAAGCTTCTCGGCCTGCTAGAGCACCTCAAGAAACTCGATAGTGTCTGCAAGACACTCCAGCGCGAGGACACCAGCATGGCGGACGTGCGTGTTTTGTTTGACCAGGTTGTTGACGACTTCCCAGTTATGGCGAGCCATCTGCGTCCGGCGGCGAAGATCGTCCATGCGCCGGCCTTTGAGGCAGCTTTGGTCAAGATTTGCAACAATGCGAAGCTCACTGCGTCTGAGTCGCGCGCAGTCCAGCGATTGGTGGTGGAGCCAGATGCTGCAACTGGTAAGAGGAAGGAGCGCTCGACGAGCGATTACGCCAGCGCAATTCTACGAGGGGGGAAGCAGATGCGAGCGGCTGGTGCTGCGGGTGTGAGCTTTCATGAGCTGGCAAAGGTGGTGCCGCCCACCTCGAACACAGTTGAAAGACTGTTTTCGCAGTGCAAGCTCATTCTGACGCCTCAGCGGTCATGCATGCTTTCTGCAAACTTTGAGATGTTAGCATTTCTTCGCGTGAACCGCGACATGTGGAACGCGACTTCGCTCGTCGCCAATGAGTAGGAAGACTTGGTAGTTAGAGGCCACAATATACTTATATTGGCCCCGTTATTATTATTGTACTTCATCATATTCCCGTTATTATTATGGGACTCGATGTCTTGCAGTACAATTTCGTATTGTATTGTCCGAGGCCTGAGTACAGTAATAGCGTAACCCTGCAGATGACAAAGTACATGTAGTGTGATGTGGTGTCAAAATGCTGGTGCTGAAGGTCGTCTACGGGGGCCTTCACTTTAATTCCTTTATATAAAATCAGTGCAAAACTGCCTCTTGCAGCTGAAATGTCGAGCTGCGTCGCTCTGAAAAGCGGTTATGATGACTGGCTTCCTGCTCGCTTGATAAGTCCCCCAAAGTGCACAATAACCGGTAGAGTCCAAGCAAATCCATGGCAACAGCCGTAGTTTCGGATTCAGCTGGTAGATAAGCGCGTCGGACACACCACATGACGGCAGAGACCTTACCTGATGACTCGCTGTGCTGTTCGAGCGTCGAGACGGCGTCAACTTGGCATTTTCACATTTGACGGCGACTGCGTCTTCCTGTTGCATCATGAAACTTCTCTCGATCCTCGTTGGCCTTCCCATTCTCGTGGCTGGCGTCGTCAAAGGGTATGCCAACCCCCTAACGTGCACGGGTGTCTGCACCAATGCACACGATCCGTCCATCATTCGGCGTGATGATGGAACGTACTTCCGCTTCTCTACGGGCATATCCACTCTGCTCCTGACCTCACGGGTCCCTGGAAATACTTGGGTGCTGCGGTCCCTGACGGTTCTAAGATCAACCTGAAGGGCAAAGATGATCTCTGGGTGAGTTACCCGAGCTCCTCTTAACAGAGTATCACTATACATAAACATGACTGACTAACCTAACTAATGTTAATTGCTAGGCCCCCGATGTCCAGAAGGTCGGTGACATGTACTACCTGTACTACTCGGTGAGCTCTTTTGGGACCCAGAACTCGGCTATTGGACTTACGCGCTGGCACTTGGGCGGATGCTGGTAGTGTCGGCATCACTAGCGACTCGTCAAAGAAGTACAACGCCATTGACCCGAACCTGGTCCAAGTTGGCAGCCAGTACTATCTCAACTTCGGCAGCTACTGGCAGGGCCTCTACCAGGCAAAGATGAAGCCCAACCCAACGAAAAATACCGGCGAGGTCGCGAACCAAGTGGCGTTCACGTCCAACTACGAGGTGTTGGAGGCTGCATTCCAGTTCGCCTATAAGAGCTACTACTACATATTCTTCTCCAAGGGATCATGCTGTGGCTACGACAAGACTCGTCCCGCAAAGGGCAAGGAGTACCGTATCCTCGCGTGTCGTTCAAAGAGTCCAACTGGAGGCTTTGTCGACAAGAACGGTAACGATTGCCGTAACAACGGCGGCACCATCGTCTTGGAGTCTCACGACTGGGTGTACGGTCCTGGAGGGCAGGGAGTCTACAATGACCCTAAGTACGGTCCTGTGCTGTACTACCACTATGATAAGATTGTTTCTGTTTGCCTGCGCACGAGCTTTTTGAAGTATTCTAACTTTTATTTATATGTGATGAACTTGATGTGCAGTGGATACCCGTGTCGGCTACGCAGACGGCGACAAGCGCTTTGGCTGGAACAAGATCGACTTCTCCAGCGGCTGGCCCAAGGTGTAAATACAAGCGAGGAGTACACAAAAAGCTATTGACGTCCGAACGTAGACGTATGTTAAGCATGTTGCGTTAAGAACCATGCTCTGTGTATCAAGACGGTTGAATAAACAACCTAAACTTTTTCTGTTAGCCCCCAATCAGAATTGTCCTTGCCACTACTATTAATAATGGCCCACTAGAAAATGGCTTTTGGAGTGGCCTTAACAACTCTAGTGTCCTATCAGTGATTGGCTATCACAGGTCGGAAGGAAACACTTGGCTTTTATTTGTCAGGTGGCTCATGCGCAAAACGATGACTATTAATAACTTTTAATGATTAAAGCCATAAAAGTTCGCTTTTCGGGACAGTGTGCTATTAATAAGAGAGTGCAGCAATTTTTTTTGTCCTTTTATTTGTGCAAGCCGATTAATAAACGAGGTTTTTCACGTGTATACGATGATGTCTGGTCTCACAAAAACGCCTCAAACAAAATTTCGAGCGGAAGGACTGTCGAGAGTCAGACGTAGATGTGATCACTGGCGTATGGCACACTGCACAGTTGCGTTACATAGTAGCCTTGACGATGTTCCAGCTGCACTATAATACATGTATTTGCCCTGTCCGCATTGTCAGGAGAATTTGCCAACGGCAAATCAGGCCCTGAGCGCAGGGGCACTTCCAGAACATGTGCGTTCTCGTCTCTCTGGTTAATTCACGGCCTGGGAGAAGCCGGTACACATCGGAGGGCGAGCGCTGTGGATTATGCTGGTGCGATAAGCCACCCAGACTTGGTGTTCTGTGAGTGTATTGCGGTGCTGCCAGCTGTTCGATTTGGGTCCTGCCGTATTAATCTATCAATCACGTTACCGGTAGCTATGTCATCCATTGACCGGTAGGGACTTCAGACTCACCACCACTTTCCTGTTTGATATTTGGTCATCCACTGCCCATGGGAATCGGTGTAAAGTGATGTACTTCCAAGCGGAAGTTATTCATATCGCAAGCTCTTTATAAACCTAGTGTTCGCGATTTACGAAAGTTTCATAGGTCGTCGCTTGGAATGTTAATAAAACCACTTCAGAAAGAAGATAAAAACGGTAGTTGCCTACATCTTATCGAGGTGTAGTGTTTCCCGGGTCCGAATACCAAAACTCCAACACAGCGATGCGGGGGCCAACCCGCACGAAATAGTAGCCGAATGTATTGATGTGTTGGTGACTTGGAAGATTGGAAAGTGAGTGCCTTGGGAGACCGTGAGTCTGGTGCTAACCAGCCCGTGCTCGCCAAGGTAAACCCAAAAAGAGAGAGGCAGACTGTCGTAGACAGACTGCTGAGAATGTACATGCAACGCACCAAAGGAAACATGCAGTTGGGCTTACTAAATCCTAATACATCTTGGTAAGGCAACTTGCTCACCAAGATCACAGAGCTGTACCCATTGTCCACAGAGGAATGCCGTCGGACACATGCGGGTACTTCTGTGATCTTCACGGTCGACATCTCTCGGTTACTGAGCCCGCCGCTCAGCACCAGATCTGGATGTCTGTCAACCAGCTCGAAGTTCCACTGCGGTGAATCCAAGCTGGAAAACCCGGAATCCATTACACAGCCCCCAAAGCTTGGTTCACCGCTCTACTCAGTCGGTCACCGACAACAGCATGACTAGCTGCGCTGGCCACGGTCCCTACGACGTCGTATAGATCGGCTCGAAATCTTGCGAGGAGTCGCTGTGACTCCTGCACTTGCGGTCCTTGACCGAGTTTGGCGTCCTACAGGTTGGTCCAGTCCGTGTTCCCTGTCCAACCCAGTCGCGGCCTGCCCCAAACTTGACTGTACTCCTCGTGGAGCACTACCCTCACCGAGGATAGTTTCATTCTGCTGAATGCTCTGTTCCTGTGTAGATCGTCGTCGCTTCCTGCCCGTGTGTCGTCGTCTTTCTGGACGCTTACCACGAACGCCACCGGAACTCGGAGCAGTTGAGTTAGCCTGCTGCTGATCAACACTGGCATCTGAAGAGCCAACCTGCCGCTGGTCTCCACTTGGATGTATCTTGTCCCAGGCCTTCCGAAGCTCTTGGTCGTCTGACTGCTTCACGTAGCTCTCCACCAGGACACGAATTTCTTTCGCGAGGTCCGACATCGGCTCGTACGAATCCTCGATGGGTTGTAAGCCCTTCCATCCAACTTGTATCTCGAAATCCTTAATCTCGTTGTTCCACTGATGACCCTTCAGTTTATCGACAGATAACACGATGCCTTGAGATGATACGTGTTCTAACAGCTCGTCTGTTACCTCCAAACTTTCATCCGCATACATCTTCATTCTCGACGCATGTACATCCATTTCGTCGCCTGTGACTAAATGCTGTACTCGGAATGAATGAGCTTCAGCGCGTATCACTCGGTATGGGCCAACCCACGTCACTTGTAGTTTATTCCCGTGCTTCTCATCAACTCGAGAACGAAGAACGAAATCGCCGACAGAAAAGTTCACCATATTCTCGCCACGTTCGCGCTTCTTGTTTAAAAGACGCTGCTTCAATCGCTGGTCCTCCACTGCACTATGCATGGCCTGGATACTTCCCCGTAGCTCGGCTAGATATCCATCGATCTCCTCAGATTCAGGAATAGTCTGCAAGTTGTTGCCATCAGAAAGATAAAATTCACGTAAGGGAGTTGGGTTCTGCAGTCCAGTGAAAAGCTCCAATGGGGAATGGTTTCCGAGGGATGGCACAGCAGTGTGATTTAGATTTGCCTGCACCATCGGAACCAGATATACCCAATCCTTCTGACTTATCTTGTACGTGATAATCATTGCCCTGACGACTTGAAGAATGTCCCGATTAACTCTCTCGACTGATCCATTAATCCATGGACAGTATGCTGGTGTGAACGTCTGCTGTGTCCGTAGTCTGCGGCTCAACTCCGCCACCACTTCATTCTTGAAGTGCGTGCCTTGGTCCGACATCCACTCCGGCGGAATGCCGAACCTCGAGTGCCATGCTAACAGAGCTTCCACCGTCACTCTGCTGTCAGCCGTGTCTGCCACGACTAACTCACAGTAGTGAGTAGCGTGGTCCTTCAAAACCAGGATATATTTGCTATCTCCATAACTTGGTCCCATAGAGAGAAAATCAAAATGTAAGACTTGGTTGCGTGTACTGCAGTCGATCACTTCGCCCCACGGACGTGGGATAATTTTCCCCCCTCGACAATGCAGGCACAGCAAACAATCTTTCACGAATTTCTTCACGATAACTGCAACGTTGTCAATCACAAAAAGTCGCTTGAGGTGAGTGATCATAGCCTTCTGGCCTCGGTGGCCTTGGGCTCCACAATGCGCGACAATGCATAGTCGCTGGATCAACTCGGAAGCTTCCGAAGGCACCCAAATGCGCCCTCCTAGTGTAATCGTTCCGTCTTCTGCAGTTGACGACCCTGCCGGTCGCTCGTACTGAGCTTGAACAGTACAAAGCTCCTCCAATGTTGGCCAAACGAAATCTTCATCGTCCAGTGGTCGGAGTCTCACCTTGGTTGGTGCCGTTTGCTGCCGTACAGCTTTAATACGTTTCATTGTAGCCACTGGAGTGTGATTCCGGCCCATCGCGAGATCATGTCGGCCCATACATTGTCAGGACCTGGTACATGCTCGATGATGTACCTGAAATTCATGAGCTTCATCGCCCACCTGAGAAGCTTGCCTTTCACGTGCTTCTTGACACTTTCGTATGGCGCGAAAACATGGATCAAATTTCTATGATCACAAAACATTCGAAATGGTTGAGGCCGTAGCAGCAAATAGTCCATCTTCTCACAGGCCAATACAATTGGCAGGGCTTCCTTTTCGATGACAGTCCAGTTCAACTGGCTGCCAGTGAAAGTCCCGCTCATGCACTGGATGAGGCGGTGTTGCTGCTCGGTGACTGGCCGCTTCGGGTCGTATTCCTTCACTTGGGTCACAATAGCTGCCCAGCCAATGTCGGATGCGTCTGTGAATAGGCACGTCGTGGCGTTATCGTCGGGAAAATTCATTGTTGTCGACGTCGCCAACAACTCTTTCACTTGGTCGAAAGCTTGCCGTTCCTCCTCGTTCAACTTGATCTCAATTCCCGCTGCAGCGCGTCGTGTACGCCTTGTGCTCGCAAGGGCTTCATCTAGACGGCGTTGGAGCGGCGCGACCTTCCGAGAAAAATCCACTAGGCTCTCTCGCATCCAGTTAATCGCACAAACGAATTGTTGTAACTCCCCAGCAGTTGTCGGGTACGGCAGCGATCGTAAAGTGTCGATCCGTGCTGGATCATGTCGAACACCTTGGTGATTGATCACACGTCCGCACCATTTTACTTCTGTCTGGTAGAGACTTGATTTCTTGACGCTTAATTTCAATCCAAATTGATTCATCAAGGAGAAAAGCTCAGCTAGCTTCTTCAGATACACCTCAATGTCATCAGCGAACAACAAGAGATCATCGATCCAGATCAAGAGATGCTCATACAGCAAACTTGCGAAACACTCCTCCATCGTCTTCTGGAAATGAATCGCTGCATCTGCGCATCCTTGGGGTACACGACGAGGTGTGTGAATCTTTTCATCAGTCATGTAGGACATGAATTCTTGACAGAGCTCAGCTAGTGGCAACTGCCAAAAACCTTTAAGGAAGTCAAAGAGTCCAAAGTGCTTCATATCACGTGCATTTTCCAGGACTAATGAAAGAATCGGCATCACAGCTGCCATCACTTCAGTCTGCTCATTCCTTGCTCGATAGTCCGTTGTTTGCCTTAAGTCCATAATGTCAGCTGACTTCTTGACTGGCAGAACGGGGCTCGCCCATCGACTCTTGGGGTTCTCGTAGACGAGTCCTAAATCCACAAGACGAGCATTGAATTCACGTAAAAACTTTCGGATGTGCGGAGGATATTTACGGGGCTTACACTTTGTAGGACGAGCCCCATCCTTCAGTCGTACTTCCAGCGGTGGCACGTTAGCTGGGGAATCATCACGGAGTTCAAGTCGCCAAATATCGTAGGCGTGCGCCGTCGTCCGCAATTGCTCCACATACTCCACAGGAAATCCATTCTGCAATGCACGATCAATCAGGTGCTCCACAGCGACAAAAATGTCATCATCTCCACTGGGTTCAGAAACATCCAAGTTCACAGGCATCTCATCTGCCTCCAGATCAATCAGGTCACCACTGGTTTCGTCATCACAGCGCGTAGCTAGTTGTTCGAGCTGGCGGTCGACGTCAATCCCTAGCGAGGTTAATAGATCATTTCCCACTATGAATTCTCCGTCGTCAATATCAACCACTAATACGTCCACCATGTTCATTGGCTCAACGGGTCCAGCGGCTGTGTGTAACATCAGATGCAACTTGGCCTTCAATTTGGCCGTCACAGTCGTCGATCCAAATGTCTGGTTTAGGATTGGAACCTCGAGTTCCTCAGTCGTTACACTTGGGTCCAGAGCCTTCAATTGCTCCCAGTGTGAGTGTTCAATAACTGTGTAGTCCGACCCACTATCAGGGCAATATGGCAGCTCTAGCACGCCATTTAACATCACCACACGTTCAGCAGACGGAAGTAATTCGCCAAGTCGCTTCAGCTTCGCCTTCTTGTTCCCACGACCATCACGCATCTTCTTGTACAGCTCTTCTTTCTCCTGCCGAGAGGCTTGAGTGCACTCGCGCAACCAGTGCATTTCCTGGCACTTCGGACATGGTCCTGGCGGAGGTTTCGTCGATCCAGAAGTCGTAGGCTTGGTCTTGGAAAACAAAAACTTAGGCTTAGACTCGGGGTCTGCTTCACCTTTGGCTTTCGCTGTGACAGACGGCTTGGGGTCCCAACGCTACTTCTTGTCTGTCTGATTGAACTTCGGTTTGTCTTTGGTTTGTCTAGTTACGTCTTGCTTCTCTCGCTTCAGACGCACGTGTTGACGCTCCAACTCATTCGCCTTCTCCAGGATGAGTCGGAACAAAATCTTCGGGTCCTTCGCAGCCTCCGCATGGGTGAAACGGACGCACTGCTTAACTTCCTGCTTTAATGATTGGGGAAGCAGGTTTGCGATCAGCTGCTTGCACTTCTCTTTCGTGCCATTGGGCCCGCTGAAGCATTCCGTGAGACCGTTCTCATCCACGATAGAGTTGAAAGTCTTGTAGTAGTCCATCAACCGAGCACTTACATCGCTTTCACGTAGGTTAATGACCAGCTTCCGCTTAAACAACTCCTTGATGTCGGGGAGCGTGTCGTTCTTGATGCTGCTCACTATGTGCTCGATCTCTGCGAGTAGCATGCCTTCCGTAGCGTCGACCGGCTGCACATTGAGCTGTAGATCGCAGAATACATCAAGTAGTTGAGGTTGAAAAGAATCCTTGATACTCTGCACCACTGCCTCGTTGTCTTCACCAGTCACTCGACAGCGGGCTTGCATCTTGGATTCATAGTCGCGTCTTTTCCGCTTCCATCGAACAAGGGCGTCGTGCGAGACTGACTCGATCATGGGTGGCAAAATTGGCGTAAACAGCGGGACGGTACCAGTGGGTCCATCCACTCCAGCAGCGCGCACCATTCTGGTCACAGCTGGGTCTTCGAGGGTCCAACGACGGTCTTCAATCGAGATATCAGGATCCTCGTCTAAGTAGATATGGCTTCGGTTCCACTGTAGGCAGGTCGGATTTGTTGACAGCTGCCAAACAGTGGTAATTCTTACTAAAGAATTCTTTGTAGTGTTTCCCGGGTCCGAATACCAAAACTCCAACACAGCGATGCGGGGGCCAACCCGCACGAAATAGTAGCCGAATGTATTGATGTGTTGGTGACTTGGAAGATTGGAAAGTGAGTGCCTTGGGAGACCGTGAGTCTGGTGCTAACCAGCCCGTGCTCGCCAAGGTAAACCCAAAAAGAGAGAGGCAGACTGTCGTAGACAGACTGCTGAGAATGTACATGCAACGCACCAAGGGAAACATGCAGTTGGGCTTACTAAATCCTAATACATCTTGGTAAGGCAACTTGCTCACCAAGATCACAGAGCTGTACCCATTGTCCACAGAGGAATGCCGTCGGACACATGCGGGTACTTCTGTGATCTTCACTGTCGACATCTCTCGGTTACTGAGCCCGCCGCTCAGCACCAGATCTGGATGTCTGTCAACCAGCTCGAAGTTCCACTGCGGTGAATCCAAGCTGGAAAACCCGGAATCCATTACACGAGGTTTTGCCATACCATAATGTATAGTAGTAATACCTTGCCTGATAATGAACAGCACATCAGAATGTTTTATCTTGTTGTTATAGAATGTCGGGAACGATTGTTCTGAAGTACTTGAATCAAATTCGATAGTGGGGTTTTCTGCTACACGAAAGGTGGTGCATGTCTACAGCTTTGTACTGTAGGAACCGTAAAAATGGCCGTTTTAAAAAGGACTAAAACGTTGTATCGAAGGAATTATTGCTCACTGAATTTGATCGTTATCACGAAAAAAATTTGTTTTCGGTAAATCTATTGAGGTTTCGCTTTTGTGTTCATAATTGGTCGATTGTATCAACATATCCAAACTTGTGCATGAGTTAATACCAGTCTACGCACTATTATAAAAAAACTGACTGGCCGACTTGTTTAATATAATACATGTAAGCTTTGGGTACAAACTGCGAAATCACGGATTTAAGTGTACTGTATGCATCCAGTTTTTTATTTCCCCTAAGTTACAAGACTACGATGTCATGAAGCAGCTCTCAAAAGTAATCTTATCGGTAAATACAATACGGTACGGATTTGAATTTAATCAATTTACATGGTATATGTATATTGGCTACCGCTACGTCACCACACTAGGTTGCAACGCACTGCAAGAAGAAGGTGCTCAGAGAAGAATGGCATCAAGCAGCAGCCCCCCTTTAAAATTCATTGAGCAACGGCTTCAAGTTGGCCTCGTGCAAGTAGGATCAAAACCACTTTTTGTGCACATTACTGTACTGCACATGAACCCTTTCGTTGAGTTGAATTCTACAGTTGGCAAGCAGGACTTGATGTTTACGGTGATCTGTCTGTTCTGCAAATCTGCAGTGGTTTGGAGAAATTGCCATTACTGGGCCTGTATCAATAATTGTGACACGTGTATTGTACTTCAAAGTACTATTAACCTAGTCAACGAGTCGACGAGACACCCGAGCCACAAGCCTGGCCAGCACGGGATAACCTGAAGAGCTGCTCGATTCGCCTACTGGTCCGTCTTTCGCCATCCATGCATTCGTGCTTGTCATTCTCACTTTTGACGATAAGCACTCAAATCACTCCGTTACCATGAAACTTATCTCGATCCTCGTTGGACTTCCCCTCCTCGTGGCTGGTGTCACCAACGGATATGCCTACCCTCAGGCATGTTCAGGAGTCTGCACCAATGCACACGACCCCTCCATTATCCGGCGTGACGATGGAACGTACTTCCGCTTCTCCACTGGCAACAAGATTGCAATTCACTCTGCTCCTGACCTCACGGGCCCTTGGAAATACCTGGGTGCTGCTGTTCCGGACGGCTCGAAGATCAACTTGAAGGGGAGGGACGATCTCTGGGTACGATGCACAATATGTATAGGTTGGTCTCGTAATGTACTGTACTAACGTTTCCTTTACTGCTATTAAAGGCTCCTGAAGTGAATAAGATTGGAGACACATACTACCTGTACTACTCTGTCAGCTCTTTCGGAACCCAATCGTCTGCGATTGGGTTAACGCAGTCGAAGACCATGGAGGCGGGGTCGTGGGTTGATGCCGGTAGCATTGGTGTCACGAGCGATGCAACCAAGAAATACAACGCCATCGACACGAACCTCATCCAAGTTGGCAGCCAGTATTACCTCAATTTCGGTAGCTACTGGCAGGGGCTTCACCAGACGAAGATGACGTCGCCCCCAACGAAGAGTTCTGGCGGAAGTGCCTCTCAAATCGCCTTCACCTCGAACGTGAGGTCGTGGAAGCTGCGTTCGAGTTTGCTTACAACGGTTACTACTATTTGTTCTTCTCCAAGGGATCGTGCTGTCAATTTGACAAGAAGCGCCCTGCCAAGGGCAAGGAGTACCGTATCCTCGTTTGTCGCTCAAAAAGCCCAACTGGAGGCTTCGTTGATAAGGATAACGTCGACTGTCGTAACAACGGTAGCTCGATCGTTTTAGAGTCTCACGACTGGGTGTACGGCCCGGGAGGTCAGGGTGTCTATAACGACCCGACCCACGGCCCCGTGATGTACTACCACTACGGTATGTTTTGTCTGTATGTAAGATATTTGTAGCGCTCTAACTTTGATGATGGACTTAACGTGCAGTGGACACCCGTATCGGCTTTGCAGACGGTGACAAGCGCTTTGGCTGGAACAAACTCGATTTCTCAAGTGGCTGGCCTACTGTATAAGAACTCAACAGCCAGCAAACGCATGAGTCTTGCGCGTGCAATCGCCTTTATTTCGGATTGAGTACTACAAATACTATTAGTAATTCTCAAATTAATTCACTCTTCGCTGCTCATACTGCCATCTTTTGGAGTCATTTTTTCTTCGAATGTGAGCTTCTTACTGGACCCTTGTTTCTTTAGCGTCCTCCTAATACACGTAGTTAACTGCAACAAACACAGCACCACTCCGTTCGGTGATACTTACAAAACTTGCTCCCTGAGATGTTCGTGGAATCTTTCAGCACTTTGAACACGGTAGACACCTAGTCCGGAAACAGCAGACTTGCACCGCTCGCGGCATCCGTCCAGCTTCTGCAGTAAAAGGAGGAAAAAATTCGCTCTGAATTCTTCTTCATGGTAAATAAAAGCGATTGTGTTTTTGCTAACTAATGCCGTGCGTTGCCCGGGAAGCTCGGGATATTATCGAAAGTATTGCGCTTCCTCATCCTCCTAATCAAGAAGGTAGGAACTTGGGTACACTTTTGAATGCCGTTCTTGTCCGACCGGGTCAACATTCACCCATCCTGATCTCATTACGTATTGCAGCCGTTTCACGCACAGCTGAATCAAATTGCTTTTAATAGTTTAAGGTTATTATTAAACAGTATTAGCCACAGTATGCTATGTACAGGTCTGCGGTCCTGGTAAGACTCTGGATATAAATTTCAAGAGGACTTTTTTATGTTTAGAAGGCTTATTTAATCAAGAGAGTGGGTATCTTGCCCGACTGGGATTGCCCTTCCCCTACGCATCCCTTTCTCTTACCGAGCTGGTTCATCCGTACAACAGTATACATCGTATAGCGCCGTGAGCCACACAATTCGTTAACGGGGAGAGCGTGAGCGACAAGCATGGATCTCCGCACGCGCGCAGCGCAAAAGCGCCATCTTACTCATTCAGCTGAGTGGGAGCCCGACGAGAGCGAGAGTAATAGTTCGGATGCGCCTCCTGATGACGTCTGGGCGCCTTCCCCCGTCGTGAGTGATCTTGATACGACACATATTCCGTTGGAGCCAGTGAGCTGCTCCGATCCGCCGGAATCCACCAGCAGCACAAGCGAAGGTGGTAGCTCCGTCCGCGTACTCGCCTTGGCGCCTACGAAGGTTGAGTTTCCCTCCTGGGAGGTGTTTGAAGATTATCTGGCGGTATACCAAGCATAGACGTTCCAGGCACGTGTTGTCTATAGCTGTGTATACACGTTTTGGCTGACATGCACTATAAATTTATCTGTAGATTTTCAGGGTGAGGACAAATACCACTGTGGCAGAGCGCAACGCACGGATCGACCGCACCAAGTCAAAGGCGGAAAAACTTCCTGACGAGTGGGTGCAATACGCAAAGACCTTTGTACCTATTCCGGGAAATTTAAGTCCCAGGCCACGAGCAAGAGACCCCGGCAGGAGTCTAGGATGAAAGGATGCAATGCCCAGGTAAAGTGAACGATCGGGCTCGGTTGGGCTTGGTCGGGTTCGTTAGATCGGGATTGAGACTGGTCTGGTCGGGATGGAAATCCGAACGAGGTCTTAACACTCTCTTTGTGATTGATTATGTGTAGATAAATGCCTGTGTTCAGGTGGTGGATTCTGAGAAGATGATCTTCGCTGTGAGGATAACGAGATGCCGACTGGAACACAATCATCGGCTTTCGGATCATTCGTTTAGAGCACATCCAACAAATCGTCTTGTGCTGAATGAGGATGCTTTACAGACAGTGGATGTACTTCGACAGGCTGGTGCTAAGAAGTCGAGTATTATGAAGTACATTACGGAAAAGTCGGACAGCAACCCGACTTCGCAGGATGTCCACAATCTTATTCGTAAGTTGAAGGCTCGGGAATTACGAGATGGCCCGAGCACTAGTGAAAAGCGGTCGAAGAAGTGGATGAAGCAATTTGGTGACCGCCCTGGTAATGTTGGTCGGATTTTCCTCGACGATGTAAATACGAAGGTAGCTGGTGTGAATAATTTGGGTTGAATTGAAAAGATGAAAACTTAACTCTATGTTTATCGTGTTTTGAGCATACAGAAAGTGGCGACCTGCATCACCCTGCAGACGAATCATATGAGGACTCTGTTCGAGCAGTTTCCTGAAGTTCTTTTGATTGACGCCACCCACGGAACGAATCGGTCTAAGTACAAGGTCTTTTCGTTTATGGCTCATGACACGTTTGGCAAGGGGCAGCTCGTCCAGCACGCTTTGCTTCAAAACGAGCGGTACACTACCTTACTGACGGCGCTGGAGGAATTCAAAGTTAATAATCCAGCGTGGAAAAGGCTGCAGTGTGTTCTTGTGGATAAGGATTTCACGGAGATCTCAGTATTGAAAGAAGCTTTTTCTGGAGTGACTATTTTGCTCTGCCAATTTCACGTACTGAAATACCTACGTGAAGAGATTGTCTCGGCTGACTATGGATTTTCGAAGACCCAGAAGGAGAAACTTGGGGGTGCGATGAGTTTAATGGTGTACGCAAAGACTGAAGAAGAATACGAGAAGCATTTGCGGTACATGGTCCTCCTCGCGTCAATTGGCTATTACGTCCCAGCGTCTAATGTGCCGGAGCCAACTGGGAGTGAACCGAACTTAGACGACCGTCAATCGGGGTCAGTCGGCGGTGAGTCTGGTGCAGTCGGGGTTGCGTCTGGCACAGTTGGGCATGCGAAATCGGGTACAGACCGGACGCCAACGAGAGAACCCGTTCGATGCGGCGAAGAACATCCATTTGTGGCGTATTTCCGCCGGAATTGGGACAATTGCCGTGAGATGTGGTGTGCGTACAAGCGCCAAAATACGATTACACTCGAAAATAACACAAACAACAGGCTGGAAGCCTCATGGAAGCAATTAAAAGCGTGGGTGGATTCTTTCATGTCTGTCGATGAGTGTATTGCGTCTATGATGTACTATCAAACACTACAAGAAAAGTTGTTCATCGGCGAAGTGACGAAGAACGTGAACGTACAGCACCCAGATTACGATGGCGAAATGACCTGGCTGGCAAATATTGTGAGCGAACACGCCTGTGATCTTATTTACGGGCAGTATTCTTTTGCTCTCGGACGAGCGGCGTATACCTTCTCTGAGCGGCTGCCCGATGTGTACTTGATAAAGAGTACGTGCAAGGAAATCGATGCACTGGATGAGGTCGACACAGAATACTCTGCTACAAAGTGCGACTGGACGTGCTCTTGCCTGTTCATGTGCACGCGATTGCTGCCGTGCCGCCACGTATTTCACCTCCGCAAAGCCTTATGTCAAGGAGCTGTTATTCCGACCCTCACGCTAAACAAGATATGGCTGATATCGACCGTGCGGTCGGCAATTGAAAACAACGGTACCAGTAATCACGTCTCTACACCGAAACCGTTCGAAGTGAAGAATGTTCTGTCTGCTCGAAATCGACCTTGGGATTTAAATCGCAAGTATAGAGAAGCCTTACCTATTGCATCCGAAATTTGCGACACTATGGCTGGACTGGGTATGGTACAGTATCAAAAGGCCATGCAGTACCTTCAAGAAGTGGCAGGTCGTTTCAAAAGAGGTGAGTTCGAAGATCCTACCCGAGCCGTGGGCGAGCCCGATCCGGAGGAGCTTTCACCAGACACATCTGTACCAGCCACATGCGTTTCAGAGCCAGACGAAGAAGTCACTTTCGCAACGGCTAGAGAGGAGGATAATCACATAGCAAACTTGTCAGAGCGGTCTGGTCAGTCGGGACAGTCGGGTCAGTCGGATGAGTCGGGTCAGTCGGGCCGGTCGGACCATTGTGGAGCGCTTGAAGAGTCTACACAAACGATTGAATCGAGCGGTATAGGCAATGAGAGTTCACGTGGAGATTGTGGAGCTTTACTAATTAACGATGAAACTCCATCAAACGCGCCGCTAGAGGCAGCTACAGAGGACACGCCGTTTGAAATCGCAATTCCTCCGAGGTCACGAGGAAGGCCAAAGTTAACCCCCAAAGCCAAGAAAGTAGCCCGCAAAAAAGCTGTTGATATGGCGAAAGAAGACTCGGAGCTTTACGCGGCAAATTTAAGCCTTGCCACAGTTGAAAGTGTGTTATCTATCGACGCTACATACGAATCCGCGGCTGCTGTTCTCACAAAGTTCAAGATGGTTGACACAAAGTTCAAGCTATAGGCACCTACAGCCCGAACCGTATCCGGCCTACCACCAACGAAGCTAGCTATACAATCGGACTCTATAACGATAATTTTACGTCCCGAACAAAGTCGAACATGCAGTGGAAAAGTCGCAAAACTGCAAGCAAAATACAAAGGACTACGCGAACAGGATGTGGTGCTGGATATTGCCGGGATTGGTTTGTATTCAACAAGAACGGTGGGTATCATGAAGAAATGGCACACAGCTACAAAATCCATTAAACTTATCGAGAGAGGTCTGAGTTGGGCGGAGAGTATTGATTTTGATGTCACCATGCCGCAGTCGTTTCAAGTCACAGAGAAGTCCATTCTTCCAGCAAAACTGAAGGCTATCCCCCTGTTGTCATCAAAGGTATGTATTTTGTCGCTGTACACAATCATTTCAGCTCATGCTAACTTTCCTTAATGTGAGTTAAGGCGGAAATACTGGACCTCATTGGGAAATCTCAACTAAGTGACGATACTATGGGCTTTGTTATGTCCTCGCTCTTCGAGTCCAAAGCCAGTATTATAACTGTGGATACAAATGTGATCGGTCCAATGGAATATGGTGCTGTCTCAGTCCCGATGACGGTATTCGCGGACATGTTCAAGAACTTGTCGAAGGAGAAAATTCTGATCCCTGTATGCTGCAACAAGAACCATTGATGTGGTATTATGGTGGATGTGGAGCGCACAGCCAATCGTGTACGACCCAATGGCTTCTACATACATGATTGGAGTCCGAGCGCTTACTGAGAAGATAGTGACCCAGCTGCCAAATTTCGCCCCACGACAGTATCGTGTCTCTCCTATCGTGG